TTTTTCCGGAGAAGTGGAATGGTGAAAAACGATTGCGGAAGCGTTTTAGGTTAGAGTTTTGCTTGCTTTTTTAAAAAGACAATTTCAACTTTTATTTGATTTCAGGTTCCATCGGTGATGAAAATCCAGAAGAATTCAAGTTTGACGTTCACACTACCTTTACAGTAAGTTTGCAATACTTGCTTACAAGATTGTTACTTACCATGGATGTCCTTCGCCTCTTTTTCTGGAATCAGCTATTCATAAGATCTGCGTGCCTGAGAAGGAAAACAATCTTTCAATTATGCAGCAATTGAGGGAGTTGCAAATAGCGTGTAAAAAATTCCACGATTTCTACATTGATGCGATGGCAACTTAGTCTATCGACATTATCTCTCATTGACACGATAAACACGAAAACTAGTTGATTGTCCACTCAAGCAGCGACGCCTTTTTTGCTTGATTAAACTAGTAAAAAAAGACAAGTCACAAGTCGTTTTTCCGATAAACACGGCACCAATTAAAAGATGAGTGAATCACCAGCTTTATAGGGTAACCACGGGGAGAGGGTGCTCAGTCAACCAAGCTTTATACCGGGGGAGAGTTCCATCCTGAGGTCCAACCCTATACCCTTTTACATACTATTTTCCACATAGAAGATACCCCTTTTGTATAATCACCGAAGGGTACATCTTTCACATACCTCAGTCGTCATCCCTTTTAACTGCTGTACGTAAATGCACTGTCTTAAATATGAGTAAATCACAAAAAAAAAGATCCTCGACTATTCCCAGCCATAAAATGTATCTGTTAGCCCTTTTGAGCTTTGTACATGCCGAAATCGAGCAGATTTCCTAACCCTTTTCATATACTCCAACTAGTGAAATTCCTACCCTTTTATATACTTGAATATCCCGTACCCACTTCAGGCGGGACCTTCCCGTATAGGCCATTATAAGGAATACCTCCCGTGGGGTAACCATCCCTTTGTATCTTTTACTTTGCAGAAGACTCCCAAGATTATACCTGCGGAGGTGGCGACAGTTCTTCGTTTCTCACGATTTGCAAATCATCTGGAATTCCAGCCCTTAGAGCCTGGTACTAGCGCTCCCTCTGATGATGTGTACAGAAACGCAGACCCTTTTGCGTATTGAGCGGCAAACAATGTTGCAAAGGCTTCTGGAAGTTGTAAATCAAAAGCAGTGTGAAGCTTTTGCGGTTTTCTTTCCGCGATGAGTATGGAAGATCTAAATCATATACATAGGCAGTCAGAAGAACTTAATTCATTTTTCGAAAGTTGTAGAAAGTCGGTGATGCTGAATAAATCATAAGGGAAGTTTGCAAAAGAAATTGAAGTTTAATGAGTGTTTCTGAATCTAATAAAACGTGACTGATAACGAGTTCCAATTATTCTTGGGACAAAACAATCAAAAAGCCACTTCGGATTTCAAGTATGCTGCTAGGCTCAAAATCCACTATCTTGTTCATAACCAACAAAGTTACCCTTTTTTCAGTTCCTACTTTCTTAATTTAAAATAAAAGCAGGAGAAACAAACTCGTTCTGAAAAAAATCCAGTTGAAAACTCGATGAAAACGTTTCTTGAGTAGTTTCGGAATGAGTGCAGTTGGTAAAAATAAATTTTTTCGAGTTTTGATCTATGGGGCGTTGCGAGCGATTATTTTCTGATGCTTCAGGAATGAGTTGATGACGCCAACCTTCTCAGTTGAAAATGTTCGTTTTTACACCGCTCTGTTGACAATTGAACTGTTATTCCTTTGGTCGTATGATCGGTAATTAGGTGTAAGTCATAAGTCAAGATAAGATAAGAGGCCAACAAGTCCTTTTCAAGAAATAGACTTAGATTAAATTCCTTAAAAACTTAACTGTACAAGGGAACATTTTTAAATAGAACTCCTTATTTATGAAATAACTCACCCACGAACCTTAGAACTGAAGACCTAAGCCTGTCTTGCTTTAAAAAAGGTTGCAAAAAGTTTTTACAAGAATAAGATTAGTGACTAAGTTGATCCTGATCCCCCGCATGTTACCTGTGCATAAAACCACAGTGTAGTCTTTTATCAAAATTAGCAGCTGATGTGTTACTTTTTCTAAAAAATTTCTTTTTCGTTCTTGTTTTTTTTTTGTTTTTGTTTTTTTACATTTTAAGTTGTTTTTAATTGGTCTGGCAGGACTAGCTCGTATGGTTTTGTGTTCCCTACCAGTCGTTCTCCGCTGCTCTCTTTGCGGCTGATTCATGACTTGTATGCAGTGAAAATGGATTAAATGGAAAAAATAAATTAAATTAAAATTAAGTAAGTCATTCATGCACCACTGAGTGGGAATAATGTGCCTTGAGTGCAATGCCGAGTCACAATTGACTGCCTACGGGAAGGGGTTTTGTACCTTATTAAAACTACGCCCGGCCACCAGGTTCATCAGCGTGTAGCAAGGCTGCCTAAGTATTTCAACGACAGTTGGATAGGTTTATCAAGGCAAGTTCACCAAAATGAGCTCCGAAAACGCCGATCTTATAAAAGAAAGTGTGAAAGACTACTATGGCAAAAAGCTTCAGACCTCAGATGATCTTCAGACAAATGCCTTTAAAATCGCAACCAGAAACATGTCTTCCACCGTGAAGGGTGCACTAAAACTCATCCACGAGGAGGTATCTAGCAAGTAAGGGACCTAATAGATATTTGCNGCAAGGCTGCCTAAGTATTTCAACGACAGTTGGATAGGTTTATCAAGGCAAGTTCACCAAAATGAGCTCCGAAAACGCCGATCTTATAAAAGAAAGTGTGAAAGACTACTATGGCAAAAAGCTTCAGACCTCAGATGATCTTCAGACAAATGCCTTTAAAATCGCAACCAGAAACATGTCTTCCACCGTGAAGGGTGCACTAAAACTCATCCACGAGGAGGTATCTAGCAAGTAAGGGACCTAATAGATATTTGCTTGGTTAGTCTTCCTGTTCGGTACAGTTTGATGGAAATTTGCGCTAGCAAGCGAAGCAAACTTCTCGCCTAGTGCTTGGGAGCAAACATAATGTCTGTGTTCATAACTGATCGCGCAATTGTTTATTCTCCTCCGCAAATCTGAAACTCTGTGTTTTCAAGTTGCTAATGTCTTAGATACGGATCAAGCTATCCGCTTTACCTTATCTCATCAAAATATATGGTATGGATTCTCTTCCTTTGAGTGCAATCTCAAAATTCAAGACAAAGTTGAACACCAGAACAGCTCTAGCAAATAATTATGTTAAACTTATTCGTCAACATTTCGACAACAACAACAACAACAAATTTTATTTAAAATTGGAAAAATAACTAATTACATTACTTTCCCACCCGCAAATAAATAGCTTATAAACTAATCGAGGCGAGGGGAGCTGAAGACATATTACAAGTACAAGATTTATATATAGATGGACTAAATGACAGTGAAGACACTACCATACAGCAAATAGAATACAACTAACATAAAACAAGACAAGTATAACATAACGATTACGAAGAGAGGCTAACCTAAAGTATTAAATAACTTAATAAGACGAGAGACTTCGACATAATCATCTTCTGATCGCAAGAAATTTAGTAATAATTCCTTTATTTTTTTACGAAAGGACGAACGTTTAAGTATTTTAATCGAATAAGGAATAGAGTTCCAAATTTGGGCACCGATTCTCGTGAAAAAGGCATACATTTTCTCGGTTCTAGAGAACTTAACATAAAACGAGTCGCTAGAGACAGATCTTGTTCTGTAGTTATGAATCTGACTTGTTTTAACGAACTGATTGAGTATACGAACTGCTGCTGTCTGTCTGTCGATATCATACAATAAATAGTTACAATCTCTGAAAAATAGGCTAGGCAGGGAAAGGCAATTTGATTTGAGAAAGAAGGGTACGGTGTGTTCCTTAGACTTACTGAAGTAAATGAGACGTAAGGCACGTTTGTGGAGAGTTACGATCTTTCTTTGAAATGTCAAGGCACAGTTTCCCCAACCACAAATACCATAAGTCAGGTAAGGGACAATTAATGAGTTGTAAACTGAAAGTAAAACACGACGCGGGACATAATGTCGAATTTTAGCTATAATTCCTATCGACTTGCTGATTTTGTGACAGATAGATTCGATGTGGTATTTCCATGAAAGATTTGAATCAATCATTAAGCCAAGATATTTTACATAATCTTTCATTTCAAGGTTTGCGTAGGTGTTAGTCACGGAGTCAAGAATTCTAATCCTAGGAATGAGGGTATATTCTTTTGCCGGGAACGAAAGATTACAAAGTTTGATTATTTTCATGTTCAAAGACAGTTCGTTGGCGTTTAGCCATTCGTTGACGTTGCCAAGCTCGCGATTAACAAGTGTTTCGAGTTCCTTTAGGTTGTTATTTGCAAGTATTATACTAGTATCGTCAGCAAATAGATAAAAGGCAAATAACGAAGAGGACTTGTAAATATCATTGATCATACAGTAGAAATAAGAGTGGTCCGAGGACTGAGCATGAGCCTTGTGGTCATCTCAACCTCAGACACAACATTATTAACTTCCGTAGTTTGCTTTCGATCAGTCAGGTATGATCTGAACCAGGAGTTGATTAAACCTCTAATACCATAACTTTCAAGCATGGTTAACAGTATCAAAAGCCTTCTTGAGATCGATGAAAACACCGCACGAATATTTACCGTTGTCCATATTTTGGAGAATTGTGTTAACAATATCAAGTATAGCATGCTGAGTACTTTGCTTACTGCGAAAACCGTATTGCTGATCATAGAGAATGTTGCAATCTTTGACAAACTTGGTAACTCTGGAGTACATAAGTTTTTCAAAAATCCTGTTATAAATCGAGAGCAGTGAAATAGGTCGGTAGTTTTCGGGCAGAGTGTCATCTTCGTCCTTAAATATCGGGATAATCTTAGCACACCGTATGGAAAAATCCCTGAGCAAATAGACTGATTAAAAATCGTGGCTAGAGGTACGGATATGACCCTTGTTGCCAATTTCAGCAGCCTAACTGGAGATGAGTAGAGACCATGGGCCTTGTTGTCTTGCAAAATTGAAATTTCTAAATTGATATCTTCTGGAATAATTAGGATCAAAGAAGAAAGTGCGATTAAGTGGAGGATCTAAATAATCAAAGAATGTATTTATGGTCTGAGGAATTTTAGAAGCCAGTTTCCTCCCAACAGGGGCGAAATATTTGTTAAGAATATTGCTTTTTTCCTTCGGGTCACTAGTTGGAACCTCATTCGGGTTTGAGCGAATAGAGTTAGTTGAGTTGCGCTTGTTTTTCTTTTTACAGTTTCCAATTAGCTCGTTAATTCCTTTCCAAGTTTGACGCATATTACATATGTTGAGATCAAAGAAACTTTGGTAGTAGCTCGCTTTACTTAATCTCGTAAGAGAGATGATTTAATTTCAGTAAAATTTGTATTTGTCCCTGTCTGAAGTATAGAAGAGGTTATTCTTTACCCTGATTGATTTTTTCGGCACGACTAGACTGAATCAGGGCAGACGGGCTAGGTTAACTACTTCAAGTTTCATAGTAATAAATGGAGATCTAAATGATAGATTTTGATACGCGGAGACCCTTGTTTAAAAACGCAAGACTAATGAGCTTGACAAGGTACCTGGGTGCGAGGAAAAAGGGATAAAGTGGCGAGCGGGAGACTAGGGGGACTAGGTGGGGGGAAAATAGGGTGGTGTCAATTTTTCGTCTACAGACTCTCCTTCATTCCCTCACTTTTTTCCTTTTCCATTTTTTCCCTCGCCATCTCCTTCCCCCCAACGGAGAGTTCACAAGCTAGAGCATCATTGGCAAAAAGGTTCAAGAGTCCTTGGAGGAAAGAAACACACAAGATTAGTCAAAAACTTTTGGGATACTCGATTTCCTAGTTGCTTTAAAACCGGCTTTAAAAATACGCCTTGCATTTCTCTTCTCTCGCAAAAGCGGCTGTTAGCCTTATCTCCAGTAATCGCCTCACGGGTGGAGGGAAGCGACAATTCGTCAATTTGCGTTTGTCTAGAATTTGTTTTATTATCATTACTGTAGTCCATTCCGGGAGTGACTCATCCTTCCAATTCCCCCTCCATACTTAGCTCTCTTTACTGTGACAAAAAAAATATCACCTCAACCGATGGAACTAAATTTTTGTGTTCCAGTTTTTTTTTTGAAACCAGAGCTGAACTTTTTTAAGTATTCAAGACAGGATTGTCAGGATTCATGCATGGGTGATTTGCAATTTTATTATGTACAGTCGCTAAAAAGATGTCATGTTTTGTAGTTGTTCCTCGCTTTAGCGACTTAATGCTCCTCTTGTTGAGTTAGCTGGGAGATAGTATAGGTTCTACTAGCGTTTGCATGAGTTTTGCGCTGGTGTTTGAAGACATATTCACAGCGAGTTGCGCTCTGATAACTGACAAATTTACTTTATCTACTCTGCCAATATTAGCTATTTTAAAAGTTGTGGTGGGATATCTACCGCAGAATTATATGCAGAGATGATTTGCAATAAATGCAGCCGCTGACAAGATTATGTAACGTCGCGAAATTCGATCGCGAAGCGAACGTGAGCTTCATCCTCGCTTCAATATTGTGCCCTAACTCGCAGTCTCGCATCAGTGATCGTTCCTGCTGAGTCAGACGAACATTAGACAATATCGTTTGAGCGAGGTTTGCGTTGGTTATTCAAGGCATATTCACCCCAAAATGAGTTCCGAAAACGCAGATCAAGTTAAGGAAAGTGTAAAGGATTACTATGGCAAAACGCTTAAGACGAATGATGATCTAAAGACGAGCGCATGTAAATTTGAGGGAAAGAAAATGCCTCCTGCCGTA